GTTTTGAAGTTGGACTATAGAAATTTGTCTTTTTGGTGGCAATTTATTTATATAGACTGCTCAAAAAAATGAAAGGAACACTTTGAAAACACATCAGATCTCAATGGGGACAAATCTCCTGCTGGATCTCTATACTGATATGGATGGGGTAATGTGTTAGGAACGTAAGGATGTCCCATCATTTGATGGAAATGAAAATGATCGACCCACAGATGACTGAATTCAAAGACCCCCAAAAATGGAGCAGCAGGCTAGTCCATTTTGTTGAAATTTCATTGCAGCAACTCAGAATGGTCCTCAGTAGTTTGTATGGCCCCCATGTGCTTGTATGCATGCCTGAAAACATTGGGGCGTGCTCTAGATGAGTCAACGGATGGTGTCCTGGGGTATTTCCTCCCAGATCTGGACCAGGGCATCACTGAGCTCCTGGACAGTCTGAGGTGCAATCTGGCAGCGCCAGATGGACCGAAACATGACATCCCAGAGGTGTTCTATTGGATTTAGGTCAGGCGAGCGTGGCGGCCATTCAATGGTATCAATTCTTTCATCCTCCAGGAACTGCCTGCATACTCTCGCCACATAGGCCAGGCACTGTTGTGCACCAGGAGGAAGCCATGACCCTCTGCACCAGCGTAGGGTCTGACAATGCGTCCAAGGATTTTATCCTGATACCTAATGGCAGTCAGGGTGCCATTGTCTAGCCTGTAGAGGTCTGTGCGTCCCTCCATGGATATGCCTCCCCAGACCATCACTGACCCACCACCAAAACGGTCATGCTGAACCATGTTACAGGCAGCAGAATGTTCTCCACGGCTTCTCCAGACACTTTCACGTCTGTCACATGTGCTCAGGGTGAACCTGCTCTCATCTGTGAAAAGCACAGGGCACCAGTGGTGGACCTGCCAATTCTGGAGTTCAATGGTAAATGCCAATTGAGCTCTATGGTGCCGAGTAGTGAGCACAGAGCCCACTAGAGGATGTCGGGCCCTCAGGCCACCCTCATGAAGTCTGTTTCTGATTGTTTAGTTAGAGACATTCACACCAGTGGCCTGCTGGAGGTCATTTTGTAGGGCTTTGACTGTGCTGATCCTGTTCTTCCTTGCACAAAGGAGCAGATACCAGTCCTGCTGATGAGTTAAGGACCTTCTATGGCCCTGTCCAGCTCTCCTAGAGTAACTGCTTGTCTCTTGGAATCTCCTCCATGTTCTTGAGACTGTGCTGGGAGACACAGCAAACCTTCTGGCAATGGCACGTACTGATGTGCCATCCTGGAGGAGTTGGACTGCCTGTAACCTCTGTAGGGTCCAGGTATGGCCTCATGCTACCAGTAGTGACACTGGCCCTAGCCAAATGCAAAACTAGTGAAAAACAGCCAGAAAAGATGAGTAGGGAAAAAAATGTCAGTGGCCTTCATTTGTAAAACCATTCCTGTTTTCGGGGTTGTCTCATTGTTGCCCATCTAGAGCACCTGCTGTTAATTTCATTAACACCAAAGCAGCTGAAACTGATTAACAATCCCCTCTGCTACTTACCTGACCAGATCAATATCCCAGGAGTTCAATTGACTTGATACTAGACTCTGATTAAAAAGTGTTCCTTTCATTTTTTTTTGAGCAGTGTATAAAAATACTTTTGGTTTTGGTAGACCTTTATCACAGTGACAAGAGTCCTGGAGTTTTTTAAATGATTATCATTTTCATGGAAGGTCTGCTTTAACATTGATATATATACAGTAGTTCTACCTTAATATTGAGGAGATGCCATGGTTTATTCCCATAAGCCCCTAAATCTTTTCCAAGACACCACTAGATGCTCTGTTCTTCTAAACAAATAGTATTTCAGAGAGCAAAGCTCCTTCACCTTGACATTACATAAAGCAGATACTCCTAGAAGCTTTTTTTTATATTGTCAGTTTTTAAAGAAAAAAAAAAAAAGAATGCCAAGTGCCTGGGCACCTCGTAACATTAACAATATCATTTTATTCTTCTGATCTCATTTTTTGGCAGTGGACCAGCGAGGCTGGCGTGTTCCCTCACTGAGCCAGACACATGATCCCGTAGGCCACACACCACTCTGTGTTTTTCCACTAATCCTGGAGACTTCCCAGACTGCACTGTGGGCGCCAGCCTGCCTCGGTGACTCCATGTCATTTCATCGAGGCCTACGGAGTGGTGTATTTATACAAAGCACGTTGCTGCTATAAGTGGATGAGACACAAGAACACGGCATAAAAAGTAGCAGATGCTCAAATCTTTTTTCTTTTATCCGTGTCAATCAGTCACAATCCAGGGGTCATATTTCCACAACAGGTTAAAAAATAAAAGCCTGCCTCTCCTATGGGCTAATTATTTGCTCCTTTTTTTAAGGGTTAATAGTACATTTAGTATACTGATAATTTTTAACCCTTTTATGAAGACTTTGAGCTTAGGACATATTTACCTATGACCAGGGGCGGACTGACCATTTGGAATGCCCCTGGTACCTTTTTCCTAGGCTTTTTTGAGTTTGGGCAAGGACACAGGAGCCCCATGATCCCCTATTGCTCGGGGGGCCCCATGAGTTGTCAGTCCGCCCCTGACTACGACATCGCTTTTATGGGTCCTGGTGGTGTTGCAATGCCTATGGCTGAAGTCAGGACTGTTATGGGCCCCTTGCAGATCTTCCAGAGATGCATGACCAGTGGTTTTCTCGGGGCAATCAAAGTGTCAGTCTACTCAAATGTGACATTAATCACAGATAGGGCCTGGTTGGCTTCTGTATTCCAAAATTGTGATCTCCCTGCTTCAATTCCTGATTCATTGCCAGTCCACCTGAGAGTTATGGGTGTTCCCATCCACCTTGTGTGTTCCAGCTCCTTCTGCTGCAATGTCAGTAAGGCCTCTTTCACATGGGCAAGATCCGTATGTCCGTTTTTCATCTGTCCGTTTACGGATGAAAAACGGACCCCCCACGTATTTCTATGGATTTGCGGATGTAAACGGATGAACATGTCTTTACATCCGTTAATGTCCTAAGATATAAAAAAATATATATATAAGAATCCAGCAGCAAGAGTGGGTTCCCCTCATAAAAGGCACAGTATGCAGGGATCCTTCATGGAGATTTCTCCAACAGACTCCCCAGTAGAAAGATGAAACTGTCAGATGGCACCTTCCATCACTGAAATATGAATTCCTAATGATCTAGGTGAGGCTTGCTCAACCAAGGTTCCTCAAGAGTTCATTGAGCATTGGCAGATTTGTCACCTACCTATAATGACCACCAATGTCAGGGGGTATTTTTCCACTGAAATACAATGCAAGGCAACTGTGGTTCAGTGGAATCCTAGGGTTCCTCCAGAGATTGCTTGGGGATTCTTTAAGCCAGGGGTAGGCAACCTTAAAAGAGGTGGAGGTCTTCCTGAACAACATAGGAGAAGTCAAAGGTCATGGGGCACAGTGTCACCTCCTCATACCTGATTTAAACCTCTAATTCCTGTACTACTGTGTCACAATCGCTTGCAGTGCACGGCAATCGTGGATATAAATCAGGTGGTGAGGAGACAACATATCATCACCCACCACCTGTCAAACATACTTGGTTCGCTTTTCAGAAGAGCAGCAGTGCCTGCTACACTTGTGAATGAGCCTTTAGTTGCATTCAGTAGGGGCACCCTTAGAGCTCCATCACAGGGAAAGGTGGGGGGTGGTGAAACCCTGCAGTTGAGTTGCGTTTTTATCACCCCCAAACCCTATCCCCTTTAGCTGCTAAGGCAGCAACCAAAGATGTACACATACCGCAGCAGGAATTAAACACCCTGTTACTTTTGGTGGGTGCTACCGCCTGACAATAGCAACCCATTCATGTAAATGGGGCTACTCTGCAAGCATCTCGCAACTGCATGCGTGGGTTCAAGGTATTAATGCAGGTGGTGAGAAAGCAACACAACAGTGCCTGCTTTAACCCCTTGTTTGCTGTACTGCACAAGGATGCAGAGCACTTGAAGAGGGGGCTCATTCACTTGAATGGGTCATGCTTGGCAGGTGCTACACCCACCAACCATCACAAGGCATATAGCTCTTGCTGCGGCTGTGACATGTGTACACCCCTGGCCTCTGCAGCTAAAGGGGGTGCGGTTGGGGCAGGGGTGGTAAAAACATGTCTTAACTATGGGGTTTTACCACACCCCAAACTGCAAATATAAATGAATCCTTACTGTTCTTTGCCCATCCCAAATCATGCCGCTGTCCTTGGGAGTCATGCTTGTAGCTGTCAATCTTGCAATGCCTCATGGGACTTGTAGTTTGGCAACAGCTGGAGAACCACCAGTTTGATACCCGTGTGCTAAGATAAGTGATTTAGGGGGGATTTGTGCTAGGAAAGGGGATTTATGTTAAGAAGGGGGACTTGGGGGGAGGATTTGTGTTAGTTGGAGGAGAGAGGGTATTGGAGGAGGGGAGAGGATTTATGCTCAGAGAGGAATTTTGAGAGGTAGAGGATTTGCGCTAGGAGGGGGGATTTGGGAGGAAGAAGATTTGAGCTGGGAGGGGGTATGGGGGGGGCAAAGATTTGTGCTGGGTTGGGGGGGGTATTTTACATTTTTGTCTGAGAAAAATTGTGGTTTGCAAGGGGAATTTATGCTTAAGGGGTAAGTGTGCAGATTAGTGCTAGAAATTTTTTTTTTTGGGGGGAGAGGATTTTTGCTGACACAGAATGCTCATACTTTTGGGAGGGGGGGCGCCATTTGACATCTTTGCCCTGGGTGTTAGGTGACCTTGTTCTGGCACTAGCTTCAGCTGTTTTTTTCTACTAATATAGGGTGATTACAGATTTTCAGTGCTGTTCCTCCAAGCTGAGGTCCTGTTCTGTGATTGGAAGAAATGTTCTGGGTGGTGCTGGATTCTTGGTGGAGAGGAAGTTCTTTGGATTCTTTTGGCATTTTAAGGTTAAAGTGTTACTAAACCCTGGACCCTGCATTCACTATATCCTTCTCCCCGGAACCTGCATTCACTATATCTGGTCTCCCCGGACCCTGCATTCACTATATCCTTCTCCCCGGAACCTGCATTCACTATATCTGGTCTACCTGGACCCTGCATTCACTATATACAGTCTCCCCAGACCCTGCATTCACTATATCCGGTCTCCCCAGACCCTGCATTCACTATATCTGGTCTCCCCGGACCCTGCATTCACTATATCCGCTCTCCTCAGACCCTGCATTCACTATATCCGGTCTCCCCGAACCCTGCATTCACTATATCCGCTCTCCCCGGACCCTGCACTCACTATATCCGGTCTCCCCGAACCCTGCATTCACTATATATCCGCTCTCCCCGGACCCTGCATTCACTATATCCGGTCTCCCCGGACCCTGCATTCACTATATCCAGTCTCCCCCGGACCCTGCATTCACTATATCCGCTCTCCATGGACCCTGCACTCACTATATCCGGTCTCCCCAGACCCTGCATTCACTATATCCGGTCTCCCCCGGACCCTGCATTCACTATATCCGGTGTCCCCGGACCCTGCATTCACTATATCTGGTCTCCCCGGAACCTGCATTCACTATATCTGGTCTCCCCAGACCCTGCATTCACTATATCTGGTCTCCCCGGACCCTGCATTCACTATATCCGCTCTCCCCGGAACCTGCATTCACTATATCTGGTCTCCCCAGACCCTGCATTCACTATATCCGGTCTCCCCGGACCCTGCATTCACTATATCCGGTCTCCCTGGACCCTGCATTCACTATATCCGGTCTCCCCAGACACTGCATTCACTATATCCAGTCTCCCCCCCCGATCCTGCATTCACTATATCCACTCTCCCCGAACCCTGCATTCACTATATCCGGTCTCCCAGACCCTGCATTCACTATATCCGCTCTCCCCAGACCCTGCATTCACTATATCCGGTCTCTCCCCGGACCCTGCATTCACCATATCCAGTCTCCCCGGACCCTGCATTCACTATATCCGGTCTCCCCGGACCCTGCATTCACTATATCTGGTCTCCTTAGACCCTGCATTCACTATATCCGGAAATGCAAATATTTTTGTAAATATAAACTGCTAAATACCTTTTCTCATCAGCAGTTAGAGCAGTCTCGTGGCTACTATCAGTGTTCAGCAGAGCACATGTTAAAACTTGTAGAAGGAGTTTTCATTCTGCTCTAAGTGGATGCAAAACCCCTGACTTCTGTCTGGACAGTGCTGATTGGCCCTGTGCTGATCACACGCACTCTCCCAAGAAAAAAAGAGCCTCTCTAGCAATACACACTAAACTGAGCATGTGCAGAATGGCTACAGTTCAGTCTGTCTTCAGGAGATAAGACGTGGACATTTGAACAAAGGAGGAGCAGAGAAGTCAGGATCAAACAGCCTTTTTACACAATGCAGAGGATTAACCCCTTAGGTTCCACAGTGAGTATAACAAGCATGCTTTACTGCATATACAGACTGATTGTACTGTTGTGGGTTAAAGGCACATGCTTTCAATGCAGTGTAAGAAGGTATATGTTCGCAATTTAGAACACAGCGAACGGCTTCAGAAACCAGGCATCTCGAGCTCTCATCAGCCAGTCAATTCTGACAATGGTGTTCGCATCATGCACATTCAATCGGATGCTGATATGTTTTGCTTGATTTTACTGGGTGATGAAGTGCCCTCTTTTGTTTGGAAAATGGCCTGAATTGTACAAAAAGAATAAGTTACACCTGAGAGTTGAAGATGGGAGGTAGGCTGAGATGCAGGAGTCTGGGAGGGGCCCAATGAGAAGGGGCCTACCTGCAGGCTGGGACTTGGAATGGAGGATCACTCAGCCTCACTAGGAGGACTACCTGTGGAGTCAGGAAATAGCCAGCCCAGCAGAAGGCCTGAAGGCAGCCACCTACTTGAACCAGCTCACAGGAAACAGACTAAGTGATAATCCTACACCCTCTGGGCCAGCTAAAGAGGAAAAGAGCACTCTGGTGGGAAGCCTGACTAGCTCCTTACCTAGGATTGTTCATCTTAAAGTGGCAGGCACTGGATCCCCTTACTCAGGGAATTCTCCACACAGCTGGGTAAAGAAGAGGGTTTATCTGGGGTCTGGGGTTATACACCAGGAGAGGCTGGAGAGCTCTCCAAGAAGAGAAGTTCTGTCTTTGGACTAGTTACCAGGAAGTTGCCTTGGGCATCCCTCACACCCCCCCTTACCCCATCCAAGTTTACAACCCCTCATAAAACTTAAAAAATAAGCCCAAGGACTGTTTACTGTCCCATGTGTGCAAGATCTGAAGGAAATGAGTGTTGCCTGGCTGTTTAGGACCATAGGGGGACCCATATCTTCAGCAACTCCTAAGGGGGGTAGTGCTACATGTATATTCAATTTTTTTTAAATCTTATAGTATATACGTACAATATACTGTATGTGTGAACTGTAAAAATCCCAACTTCCCTTTAGGTTCCAAAAGTATTTGAAATATTCATCCTACTTTACCAAACAACTACATTGACATTTTTTATTAGTGGACCAATAAAAAAAATTCCTGTCCGTGGTGCTCAAAATTGGGTAGCTAAACAGACAACAGATAAATACTCAGGTTATAACTAAAAGGGAAGGTGTAAAATAGAAGGGCCACTATCTATAAATTAACTTTAAAAAAGTTCCGCAACACTCAATACAGTTGCCCAGGAATAGAAACCTAATGTCAACCCATTGATAAAATTTCAGTAAAAATAAGGGTATTTGGTAGCATAGCTTTGTAGATGTAAGTTTAGCACCCTCCTAAAATAGAGTAGGCTGTTAGGTAAATTTAGTTGGCACCACTGTAATCAGAGGAGCAGGGGTTGATTGTTTAGGCCTTCTCAGTGTCTCGAAGGCTGCTGCTCTGTTACTTCTGACTGTCATCTTGAGGATTCTAGAATCATAGTGGGAGGAAGAACAGGGCATGCAGCCTGAATATTTCTGGAACTCCAGCCAATCCCTGGGGAGGTGTGCTCAGTAGGTGGTGAGAGAGCCCATAAATAGTCTGGGGCCTGAGCAGCAGGGTGCAGAGTTCCAGGGTCCATTCCTACTGGAAGACACCCATGAGAGGGGAGCTGTGCCCGAGGCAGATTTCTACAAGAAGCTGTTTTGGAAGACACCTAGGTCCCAGCTAGGCTTAGCTGGGGGGCCTATTTGCAATCTTGAGTCCAGGGATCAAGTTGAATCTACAGAAGGGGGGGGAATAGGACTGAATTCACCAACAGCTCTACTAGTGCACTACTAAAAGAGTAACTACATCTTAAGGAACCTGTGTACAATGTGGCCCTTGCTCTAATCTGCAGGGGAGGATATATTAAGCAATGACAATTTAGCAACATCAAGTGCAGAATTTCCCTGGCTCAAAAATGTAGAAGACATGAGATTGTCCTGGATTGTAGAAGTACTAAAAATAAGCCAATAAAGAAGAACAAAAATTTAAAAAATGAGGAAATCATTCAAAGCAGAAACAAGCGTTGGCGGGCTGTAGAGAGAGCAATTCTTAAGACCAAAACCATGCACTGCAGGAGAAAAATGTGGTTTTGTTTTTTTTTTGATGCATAGAAAGGAATTCATTGTCACATACCTGACTGTGGAGCCTGAGATGATGAGGGTGGCCTTTTACGCAATTCTTATCCAAGCACCCCTGGTAGTGGAGATAGAGACTATTAGGACAGTGGAAGGGTGCAGGTGCGAGGAAGCTGGAGCAGTGAACTGGAGCTTGGAGACACAGGAGTCCTTCCAGTGGCAGTATGGAGTCTGGTCACAAGCTATGTTCAGCAGCAGCCAGGCAAACAGATGCAGGGTCAGGATTAAGGTCAAGATCAGGAACAGGTAGGAGTCAATAATGTGCTGGTGGCGAGGTATCAAGTCAGGAGGTGGAAGCATGTTAATGAGTCCAAGCCAAGGTAGCTAACACAAGCTAGCAGTAGACATAACAGGCAGGGGTGATCCAAGAGAGATTTCAGGCATAGCCAGGTCAGGAACAAGGTAAGCAGACTTAGAGGAACTAGGAATCAGAGCTGAAGACATTGCAGCACTGAGGACAGGTAGACCCTGGATTTAAACAGGCAGCTGGGCGCCAAGCCCTGTGGGTGTGCATGCACATTTGTACCAATACTCATGCACATGCGCATTCTTGTCCTTGCATGTCTAGTTAGGCTTCTATGCTCACGACCCTACACATGAGCATGAAAGTGAACACTTCATGCATGAGATCCCTGACATGCTTCCAGAGGGTCCAAAGAGTCAGTCCATCTAAAATAATTATTTTTATGTTTGATGAACGCAGCAGCACAAATTTCACATCAAGATTCCAAATTCTGCCCGTCTCACCATGCCACCATAATCTTTCTATTGTATTCTTCACAATGGAAGATAAATGAAAAATCCAACAGTGAAGACAACATCATTTTGAAATGGATGTAGTGAGTGGAGAACTTCTATTACTCCATTACTATTAGCCATCAAAATACATCAGAGGATGGTCAGACATGCAAACATTATCTGACCTTCTGAATTTCTTTCAGTACATGTTCAGCATCATTCACGCCACAGATTTGTCACTGCACTTTATATATGTGTCTTTTTCTTTACTCAAGGATGGTAGGATGTTGGGCTTCGGGCCTGCCCTGAAGTGTAGGAGGAGGATGTGTGGCCACTAGGTTCCTTCTTCCCCTACCTTGTGGGGCCCCTCTTACCAGTACTCATTGGTTGACTTTGGCTGGTCATGAGGAACGGAGTCTTCCAGGCCTTTTGGCTAGATGAGCCTGACTAAGCCTTGCTAACGTCAGGAGTCTTGCGCCCTGGGGAGGCAGAAAGGGGTCTTTTTTCTTCGGGAGAGGACCATGACTCAAGTGCTTTTTTTTGTGTGTGTTTAAATGCACTCTTTTTTCTTCACTCTGGTGTTTTGTTTTTGAGGACCACACCATGGACATAAAAAAACCCCTGAACATTCAAGTTGCCCAGTCATACATGTTTATATTATAAAGCAGGGGAAGGTGTGCATGCACCTCTAGTGCAAGCTTACCTGCTATTTTCCTGAAGCTCTCCCAGCCACTGATGTTTGCTGGCACTAATAGACATGAGACAACCATTGGAACTAGTGATGTAAAGTGAGTAATTTAAGTGGAACTATAGTGAAAAAAATGGAAGCAGGCGGGTACTTTATTAAAGAAGAAAGATGCTGTATCTCGAAACACCACAGTGTCAGAAAAAAGCACACCGCATGCAGGCATGGATGTTATGTAAGCCAATTCAGACCCAGCAGGAAGCCGAGGAGAAGATGTTGGCACCAGCAAAGGTAAGGTGAGACATTAGTGTTAACACCTGACTCCTCCAACACTTAACCTACTTCCTATAACAAGCCTTTACACATAACCCCCCCCCCCCCCCCCCCCCCCCCCCCGATACTTTAATACAACAGTTGACTAGCACCATGCATATTTGTACAGTTGTCTCCCTCATCTTAGGTGCTGGTTGCCACATTACTCCTCTCATGCCATATGTAAAACTG